TCTTTCTCTCTCCTTTCTCTCTCCTTCTCTTCTCCTCTCTTTCTCTCTCCTTCTCTCTCTCTCTCTCTCTCTCTCTCTCTCTCTCTCTCTCTCTCTCTCTCTCTCTCTCTCCTAAAGAGAAGGAGAGGAGGAGAGAGATAGAGAGAAGGAGAGGAGAGAGAGAGAGAGAGAGAGAGAAGGAGAGAGAGAGAGAGAGAGAGAGAGAGAGAGAGAGAGAGAGAAGTAGAGGGAGAAAGAGAGAGTGGGGAGAGAGAGAGAGAGAGAGAGAGAGAGAGAGAGAGAGAGAGAGAGAGAGAGAGAGAGAGAGAGAGAGAGAGAGAAAGAAAGAGAGAGAGAGAGAAGAAAGAGAGAGAGAGAGAGAGGAGGGGGTAGAGGAAGAGAAGGAAATCACACAAATAGAAAGAGAAAATAAAAACTGATAGACTGAAAAGAGACAAAGACATTCACACAAGAAGCCGAACACACTCACGCGCTCACACGAACAGACATGGATGAAACGAGAGAGAGGATGAGTGCGTGCGCGTGCGCGTGCGACAAAGGGCGCTATGGACGCCAACCCTCCTTAAGCTATAGTCAGTCTGCCAGTCACCTTATCACTTCACAGTCTTCTCGATCGATTGTTCGAGGGAAGTCACGAGACGCCAAGTAACGCTACACCTTGCGCGATCTTAAGTAACGCAACACTCGGGAGGTTGGAGGACGGGGGGGGGGGGGGGGGGCAGTATGTCTCGTGAGCGTCTGCCTCGGTGGACTGCCTCTGCTTGATTGTGGAAAGAAATTAACGGAGACAGAAAAAGCTGATGCTGAGTTTTTTTTTCCCTTCCAGCTTTATAATCTATGTGATATAATATCTTTGATTGCGACCATCGTGTGCTTAGCCTGATGGGTATGCTCTGTGAGGAAAGGAAAGGAAAGTCATATGAGAGGCCTTGAGTTTTTCTTTCCTTTTTTTTTTTTCTTTTTAGGTAATACCATTAGACAAAAGAATACAATCGCAAGCATATTTATACACCCAAAGGCCTCGTGATTAATATAAACTAGAAACGCTGTTGAAAAGTCACGCCGTAACCGCACTCGTGTCACGTGAAACTCCCCTACCCCCCCCCCCCCCACACACACACACCCCATCCACCCCGTCCCCCGTTCATATGTATTACTTGAAATACAGCGTCTTCTGTTGCCTTCGCATTCGGTTATGAGTGGAAGCGGCGAGACTGAGCACCGATGTGAGAACACACCTTCCAGAGCTCATGTGTTCTTCAGGATCCTTGGCAAAGTGATTTTGTCAGTTCTTCAGTCGTCAGTCACGCTGGCGATGATGAGTCACTCTCTCGAGGGAGATGACAGAGAGAGAGAGAGGGAGAGAGAGAGAGAGAGAGAGAGAGAGAGAGAGAGAGAGAGAGAGAGAGAGAAAGAGAGAGAGAGAGAGTAATGATGGAATAATGATAATAATACTATTGATAATAACAGTAATGATAACAATAATGATGATGATAATAATAACCATAATAATGATAATGATGATAATAATGACGATAATAATAATAACCATAATAATGCTAATGATAATTAAGATAATGATAACGATAATGATAATTATCATTATAATAATTATGATTATAATAATGATAATGATAATAGTAACAACAACAATGATAATGATAGTAATAATGATAACAGTAATAATAATAAAGATAATAATATTGATAATAATAATAATTATGATAATAATAATAATGATAATAACAATCATAATGGTGATGATAATAATGCTGCTGCTGATAATAATATTACTGATAATAATAATGATAACAAAAAGATTTTAAAAATAATGACAATAATCATAATAATAACGACAATAATGATAACAAAAAAGATGACTACAGTAATAATAATAATCATATTAACAATACTGATAATGATACTAATAATAATGATGACAATGATTACAATAATAATAATATTTATTTTTTATGTCATTATTATTATTGTAATGGCTATCTCTTATGCTAGCCATTGTAAGAAACGATGTCGAGTAACACCACAGTGACCAGCTTATATAATGATACTGTTTATGCGTGTCCTGGACAGAAATAAGCCGAGTGGAGACAATTTGCACAAACGCGATCAGTTCCGTGTGATTTCTTAGTGCGTTATTAAGAGCCGAATGGCCGCTATTGGCAATGGCTTTGTCAGATAATGTAAGATTATTTCGTCCTTGTCTGTGTTGCTATAAATTTCGGTAGTGATTCGTAATAACGCTGTTTCAGTAGAGGCATTGTTTAGAATTCTTCATCAGCGACTTGCCATGGAATGATATGGATTTATATTCTTTTAATCATAAATATGATGACTATGACTGTTCACCTAGGCTACAGGAAAGAACTTTAACATATCTCTGTAAACCTATTTCGATACAGCCAAGTACTTCTATGCGAATGAAGGATATCTATATATCCCGCCAGGGGTATCTCGACCGACTTTGTACTTGTATTGTTCATAGTTGTAGGAGTTATCTCACTATATTGTATGTGCAAATTCCGACCTGCATCACATCTGTGAACATAGGCTCTGGTGTGCTACTGAAATTTTCTGATATTTATGACCGAGGAGAGACTGCCTTGATAATAAACCAGCTGTGATAAGCTGTGATAAGCTGTGATAAGGACAGCTGTGATCGCGACGCCGAGGGAAGGAAGCACGGTACCGGCCAGGGACCCCTTTTCGCGATGGGAATCCCGGACGGCGGCCCAATTTCCCTCTTGGCGAAAACGCAGTCAAAGGCGACCTGCTGTGGTCACGCGCACAGGTTTCCCAAGTCACTGTACATATAATGACTCAGCCAAATTGCGTCCGTGGCATGAGCCAGCTGCTAATGTGATGCCGATTTTCTAAAAGATAATGTGATTTTTCTCGAAATCAGATACTGTCTTTTACTAAAGATAAATGTCGGTTTCGAAGATTATGTTAATCTTCAAAAATAAATGAAAATTTTGTGAGATATAAGGTGATTTATTTATATAAAGGAAGTCTGCATTGTTCTCATCGTGGTAATAGATTACAATTCACGATTACATTGAAAAAGACGTTTATCGGGAAAATACCGTGATCATGCCGATTATTTCTAGCATTGATTTATTATTGCAGTTTAATATTTAACTATTAGTAATGCTTATAATACCTTCTAGATCGAATAATGTGACATTTAAATTTCCAAATTAGAATTTGATATATTCTAGATAATATAAGACATTTTATTTTAGTGTCAAAAGCTCTCTTTCCGTTCCCGTTTTATCCGTCTTTTTATGTGGGTTTCGTGCAATAGCCTTTGTGTATATATATATATATATATATATATATATATATATATATATATATATATATATATATATATATATATATATATACACTATATATATATATATATATATATATACACGCATATATATATATATATATATATATATATATATATATATATATATATATATATATATATATATATATATATACATATATATATATATATATATATATATATATATATATATATATATATATATATATATATATATATATATATATGTATATATGTATATATATACATACATATGTGTGTGTGTTTATATATGTGTGTGTATATATATATATATATATATATATATATATATATATATATATATATATATATATATATATATGTATATATATATGTATATATATATGTATATATATATATATATATATATATATATATATATATAGTATATTATATATATATATATATATATATATATATATACTATATATATCTATATATATATATATATATATATATGTGTATATATATATAATATATATATATATATATATATATATATATATATATATATCTATATATATAATATATATATATACATATATACATATATATATATATATATATATATATCTATATATATATATATATATATATATATATATATATATATGTATATATATACATACATATGTGTGTGTGTCTATATATGTGTATATATATATACATATATATATATATATATATATATATATATATATATATATATATATATATATATATATATATATATGTATATATATATATATATGTATATATATATGTATATGTATATGTATATGTATATGTACTATATATATATATATATATATATATATATATATATATATATATATATATATATATATATATATATATATATATATATATATACAATTTATTCATTTATTTAGTACTCATGTATTTATTCATTTGCTCACTTATTTATTCATTTATTTATCTATTAATTTATCTCTATATATACACACACTCACAAACATCGTGTCTGTG